AGCTGGCCTTGGTTCTTTTGTGTCTTTGGTTTCAAGTACAGATACTGTGAAATCATTACAACAAAAGGCAGAGGTTGCAGAGCTACCAAAAAAGTAATCTGAGGGCTCCTCCCCCAGCTTCCCAATCTTAGTTCACCGTGCCACCCACTGCCCAAGACAAAACCAGAAAGTTATCCTTGACCCTTCTCCTCCCTCATCCCCAAGTACAAAGAAATATCAAACCTCATTTCCAAATTCTACTTCCGAAGAGCAGCTCAAGTCTGATATGTCTTTCCATTCCTACTGCTGCCACCATGGCGCAAGCCACCATTATTGCTCATCTGGACAGCTGTAATCCACTTCCAGAACATTCTTTTTAAAATGCACATCCTATCACAGTGACTGCCTACTACTCTTAGGAAAACAAAGCCCACATCCTAGCATTGCCTGCATGACCTGGCCTCTGCCAAACTCTCCTGGATTACTCAGAGCTCCTCTCCAAACTCATCACTCCTGGTGCTTGACCAAGTTGCCGGTCAAGAGCCCACCAGATTCAGGTCCCATACACAAGCTGTTCCCTCTGCCCAGGACCTCATCCCTGCTGATCCATCCTGATTCATCATTTAAGTCAGCCTAGACATTGCTGCTTTCCCAGGCTTCCTGGTGTAGGCTTGAGTCCCCGCTAATTCTTCATGGTACCAGCTACAACAATTGTAATTTAAATATTTGCTTTCACACTTACTTTGTTAACACTGACTCCCCTTGCAGCTATAGGCTCCATCCCAGGGTAAGGAATTGCTGCATTTCTCTTAGCCCACTGTGTACTATATCATCTAGCACAGTAGTGCCTGACCCTAGATGAATTGGTAGATGGATGGAGGGATGGATGGAGGGAGTGAGGGAGGGATGGATGGATGGAGGGATGATGGAGGGAGGGATGGTTGGTTGGAGGGATGGATGGGTGGAGGGAGGGATGGATGGATGGCTGGAGGGATGGATGTGTGGAAGGAAGAAGGGATGGTTGGAGGGAGGGATGGTTGGGGGGATGGATGGGTAGATTGATGAAGGTATGGATGGATGAACCAGTGAGCATCCAGATGGAGGAGCAGGAATGGCCTCCTGGAAGAACTGGCATGAAGAAGAAGATGGTTAAGTTCCGGACCTTCTAGAATCACAGGCCTGGAATCAGAGCAAGACGTACCTTGTCTTCCAGCTCTGATTATTCAAGCTTCCTTTTCCTTTCCTGAAAGTCACTGATTCGGACCGACCCCATCTAAACTTCCCCTCTGCCGGGTTTTCTGCCTGGGGAGAACGGTTGCTCACCCAGCTGTCCTGGCCTCTCTTTCCTTGCCACTCTCTACCCCGGCCCGCTGCCTCTCTAGACCACTTTCCCACCACACCCTTGGGTTTATGTAACTGAGTCACTGTGTGATGCTGTAGAGCTGATTTGCACTTCTGCTTGGGCAGTGAGGTGAGGCGCTTTGCGGCCCCGAGAGGCAAAGGAGAGCAAGCACGCCACCACCTCCCCAGTTCCTCCTCAGACTCGACGCACAGGTGGCCAGCCCAACCCTATCTGCAAGGGCTCTACCGTAACCCAAGCCAAACGCCAGCCACAAAAAGAAATTGAAAGAAAAATCTTTCTACTGCTGCAAAGACAAGTTCCGTATTACATTTTTCCCCTCTCTGGATAGAGGTGACTGGTTCAGTTTCCTTTTCAGACTTCTACAGGACCCTGTCAGCATCTGTCTTCTCCATCACAGATTGGAAGATGGCGTCGCATTTCTCTTCCTACCAAACTGAGGCACTGTAAGACCAAAAAGCAAAGGGGAGATTCCTCCCACTTGATGGCCGGTGGCCCACTTCCCAGGTGAAGAGCAATATAAAATCGGAAGACCTAAAGAGAATACAGAGAAAAAAGTGTTCTTGAACGAGTGTGTGTGTGTGTGTGTGTGTGTGTGTGTGTGGAGGGTGAGCCAAGGGAGGAAGGGGTCGTGTGCAGGCCACACAGGGATTTAATATGTGATACAAAGGGAGAGAAGGAACAGCATTAAGTAATGATAGCCACGGTTTACTGGGCCTTTACTCTTTGCCAAACACATTGTAAAGTGTTTTGTATACCATCTTTCATGTAATTGTCAAGACAGCCCAGGGACGTAAGCATTGATAGGCCCATTTTACAGTTGAAGAAACAGGCTCACTGAATCATGCAGCTCGTGAGTGGCCAAGTTCCAGGACTGAGATCCCGATGTCCCTTGCTTTGAACCACTACTCGCAACTGCTCTCCTAGGGCGACAGATCGGAAAAGAAAGGAAATTGGTTTATGGTGGGGCAGAGGGCTTGAGATTAGACATAAAGAATGTTCTGACAATGAGGGCCGTTTGGTCGTAGTCAGGGTAATTAGGCTCGTTAGAGCTCTTCCTCTGAGGGCCTTTACTGTTACAAAGAATGGATGCTTCTATGCCTGGCTGGTTTAAGGGACACACTCTGTGCTCCAAGCATGGGGGCTGGCCCATTTGAACAATCTGACAGGCTGGCTAGGGTACAAGACAATGACACATGAAACCGTTAGATTATGGGGGACGATAGCGCAGGGTGTGTGCCTGAAGGCGGCTGGCGGCAAGCAAGGGCCATGGCAGGCACATATTGTTGTGGTTTCTAGCAAGGGCTCTGTGGTCAGGTAGACCTGTGTTTGAGTCCCTGCTGGACCTCCTCGTGTGACCCTGAGAACATGACTTAACCTCTGCAAGCCTCCGTTTCCTAGCCAGTAAAAGACGGGCTAAGAATAGAGCCTACTTTGGAGAGTTGCCATGAAAATTAACTAAGATGATACACGTAAAGTGCTTGGCACAGAACTTGCACATAATAAGGATACAATGAATGGGAGGTGCTATCATAATTGTTATTGTGGGAGTCCAGAGGCCAGAGAGAGAAGTACAAAGCAGAGCTGTAGGTCAGTAGCTGAGAAAGCCTTTCTGGGAAACTCCGGTTTTGTCCTGGATCTTGAAGAATGGGTTGGGTAAAATCAAAAGGAAGGACTAGGGACAGAGATGGGGGCTCACATGGTGGGGCGAGACTTCAGATTCTGTATCTTAAAAGAAAATTCTAATTTGGTCTGTGGTTAAATTAAAGGAAGAAGCTGATTAGGGCAAAGGGATGGTAGAAGAGATGAGGTTTTCTGTCTTTGTTCAAACCCAGAATTTTAATAGAGGTAAAGACAGCCCCTCAGAGACTCAAAAAAAAAAAAAAAAAAAAAAAAGGCAGCCAGACACACAGGGCTTTTCTGCTTACTTCCAAGATCTCACTGGGTGATGGGGAAGGGGCCTGGGAACATGGCTTGGAGCAGAGTGGGTGATGGATGAGGACAGGCCCAGAAATAGGGGAAGTTAGGAAATGTGGGTGAGGCCCTAATGACCCTGTGGACTGACTCATGTGAGAAGACCCAGCTCGAAGGCTAGACAGAGATGAGTAGCCTAGCAGGCAGGAACCCTGGCCACCTCGTCTTCAGTCCTGCCAGCTCAGGGTGGGAGGGCCCAGGAGTGCAGTCTTTGCGCTAATCCATTATTCTCTGACAGCCTGCCTTATCTCCCTGAGGTGAAGATAAACTCCTTAGGGGCCAGAGTAGTTCTCCAGGAAAGACCCTGTTTGTTTTAGATCCTCTCTGCTCAGCCCTCTGTCAAGTACCTCTTAGATCAAGCATCACCTGGGCCTTTGTTAAAAATGCAAATTCTCAGGGATTTTTTTTTTCCCCTTCCAGTGTCTGTTTGGCTAAATTTAGGGACTCAGGTGTTTGTTTTGTTTTGTTTTGTTTTGTTTTTAACAAGTGCCCAGATGATTCTTTTGATAAGGCAAATTTGGAAGACACTGAGTTAGATAATCTCTTGAATCCTTTTCAGTCCTATCAATGCAGGCGGCAGAGTACAGTAGGAAGAGCCCTGGCTGGGCAGTAAGGAGACAGGTTCTAGGCCCAACCTTGCAGCTCATGGGGTCAGGGCCTACTATGGGCACCGTCACAGTACCCGGCTGGGTACCCCGTGTCATCTTTGGTACTAATAAGAACACTGTGCTGGGGTGAACTTGGAAGGGAAGGAGGCCACAGAGAATTCAAATCTATGATCAAGATCTAAGAAGGAACAGGGGGACTGACACTAAACAGAAGTGAAGTGGACATGGGGAACAATAGGTTCTGAGGTTTTCCCTGGGGCTTTCTGTTCCAATGTAATTGGCAGGACATCATAGGTCTCAGCAACTCCCACTAGACACAGGGCAACACATAGGCCTAAAGAATTTTTAAAACGTTCCCAAAGCATACAGTTACTCAGAGGAAGCAGAAATCCCAATCCCCCTTGCCCTCACCCTGGCAAGGGGTTCAGGTGCATCGCAGGGCAGTCATATTTTCTTGGGACTTGTGGGAGAAACCCCTGTGGGTCAAGCGCCAGTGCCCTGAGGCCCTAGTCATTTTCCTGAATCTCCCTGGATTTGCTGGGAGGGAGGGTGGGGATCTGGGGAGGTGGGCAGGACTGAGGACAGGCCATGAGTCTGGCTTGCTAGCAGGGGAGATCAGACTGAAAAGAAAAGGTGCCCTGGAGCTCACAAAATGGGGGCAAGCCAAGGGGCCCCTCCGGAGAGGGGGCCTGACTTATCAAACTATCTCACCAGAGAGATGGCAAAGCTGGGCGAGAACATCAGCTCATCCCTCCGGACCCAGGGCAGTCAAAAGGCTGAAGGAGAGGTGAGGTCTGATTTTGCAAAAACTTTTTAGAAATTCGCTGTGTCAGAGAAACTCAAAGACCAAACAAAACCCCTAAAACACCAAGCCCGATTATTTCGTCCACGTGGCACAAGAACAAGCCAAAGTGGGGGGGGGGGGACGGGGGAGGAGCGGGGGGAAGAGTCACCCGTCCCGCCCCTGCTGGGAGGACGGGATTTGCCGGGACAGCCAGGACAGCCAGGTCGCACGGGGCGCGGCAGGGAGGGAGATTGAGAAAGAGCCCTTTTCCCACAAAGCCGCTGTGCGGCGGTCCCCCGCCCCCTCCCCCGGGCCCCCGCCGGAGTGCGGGGAGCCGCCTCGAGCCCTTTAAGGGCCGAGAGGTGCGCGGTCTCTTTAAGGCAGGTCCTGGTGGTTTCTGTTTTCCGAAGGAAGTGACGGGGGGTGGGATTGAATGAAAAGTGCAAAACAGAGTCTCGGAGCTCCGGAGTCGGGGCCGCGGCAGTCGCAGCGCTGGGCCGGTGGGCGGGCGCGGGGGCCCCGGGAGCGCCGCGTCCGCCTCGGAGCCGCCGGGGGGCGCGCGGCGGAGCGCAGCCCACGTGCGTCCGCGCCACGTCTCGGCCCCCCCGCGCCTGAGCCCCTCGGGGAGCCGCTGCCACGCGTCCCGAACTAGCCGGTAACTTCGCGCGAAGTTTGGCAGCGCTCCTCGCCGCACGCTCGCGGCCGGCCGGGCTCCCGGGGATGCGCCCGCCCGGCCGCCGCGGGGTCCCCACGGCGCCCCCCGCGCCGCTGCTGCTGCTGTTGCCGCTGCTCGTGTCGCTGCTCGGGGCGGCGCGGGGCGTGGGCGCGGGGCCGGGCGCGCCTGCCGAGCTGCGGGTCCGCGTTAGGCTGCCCGATGGCCAGGTCACCGAGGAGAGCCTGCAGGCGGACAGCGACGCCGACAGCATCAGCCTCGAGCTGCGCAAGCCCGACGGCACCCTCGTCTCCTTCACCGCCGACTTCAAGAAGGTAAGGCACCCTCGCTCGCCCGGCGGGACCCAGGAGCCCGAGCGCTCCGGGGTCCCGGTCGCACTGAGGCCTGCAGGTGGAAGGCAGGCCAGGAGAGGCACAAGACTTAGTCAGGGTCATGTCGTGGGGCTTTTGTCTACACCCCTGTGCAGGCTCCCCAAAGCCCGGCCCTTTCATTCTGCCCCGGGGGAATTCCGCTGCCGCCCCCTCCAGCCTCTCGCCGACCAGCCTGTTGCCCACTTCTCTTTCATCCCTCCCAGAGCCCTCCAGGTGCTGATTCTCCAGAAATGCTAACTCCCTTCTTGGGGTAATTTGCCTCTGCTCTAGAGGAGAAAGTCCTGGGTCAGCAATCAGAGTTCACGGGTTCTTGCCCTGTGGTCTTGGGCACGTCCCTTTCCTTCTCTGGCTTTCCTTTGTCACCTCTGTACAGGTCAGTGAGGTGGCTCCAGGCCTCTCAGCCCTGACGTTTTGGAGTCTATAAACCAACCCTCTTGTTTCACTTTCCTAGAGTGGAGACATGGAGGGGGGTGGGGGGGGCATAAGAGTGGATTGTCCCCTGTCCCTCCGGAGCCAAGGAGATGCTACCTCTCCTCTCTGGTTTGGAAGGCTGGAAAGCTTGCTGAAGGACGACCTGGCGAGAGGCCCCACAGGAGGTCCCCACTCTCTGGGAGAGCTGCTGCTCCTTACCCTGCCTGGCCAGACAGCTGGCCAACCTCCATGTTTTGGCCCAGATTGCAAGAAGGGGAACAGAAACCAGCCTCTACTCAGTGTGTTTGTTAGGAACCAGAAGGAACCTTGTGGAGGGACTGGAAGGTGGACCTGGCCCCCAGGGTGGTTGGGGATAGGGAAGGCAATGGAGGGACTGGGGGATTATCAGCAAATGGGCCTGGAAAGGTAACGAGGGACTAACGGTGACCCAAGCAGCAGGAATTCTGGAAGGAAAGAGGGTGGGTGAGATGTAGGTACTCAAAGGGAGTCTCCTGCTGTACACACACACACACACACACACACACCAGTCCCTTTTCTGCTAAGAAAGAGGCCCTGTCTCTGGGGGACTGGAGAGGTGGGGACAGTTAGATAACTGGACAGCTGGAGAAGCTCAGGCCTGGCCCAAGCCGTTCTCCCTCCTCCCTCTTAGAGAGTGGGAGTTGGAGAGGAGATGGGCAGAATTTGGGGAGCCAGTGAGGGACCCAGTAAAACTGCTATTGAGAGCGTGGGCCGGGACGGAGGGTGAGGGGATCCTGTGGACAGTGGAAGTAGGGTTTCACTGCTAATCTGTCCCCAGATTACTGATTTACCACTGACGTCGGACATAGGTAGACCATGGAGTATTGGGGGGTGGTCATGGTGGGAAGACTTTATAGCCCATCTTTACTGGGCAGGCACAAGCTAGGTTCTCCTATTCAGGCAGGGGCCTGGAAGGGTAGCCAGTGTGGAGAGAGGGAAGTTGACGGGGACATACCCGCCTCCCCATACCCGTACTCTAGGGAAACTTTGTCGCTTGTGTTCTTTTCCGGGAAATCCCAGTAGGGGCTGGACCCCTCAGGAGGCAGCGGTCTAATCTTCCTCTCTAACCCTCCACTGAAGCCCTTTTTCCTTGAGAGTGAGCCTCTGGCTGAGCCAAGAGCCTCCTACTTTCTTGCCTCCTGCCCATTGTTCTATGGCATCTGGAACCCTGGAGAGAGGCTTCCCCACTCCTGGGACCTCTCCTAGGCTGTGGCTAGGACGCAAAGGCTAGGGCTGAGCTTTTATAACCCCTGGCTGCAGCATGAACGATTTTATTGCTCTGCCCTGTAGGCAGGAAGAGGGGGGAGCCCCGTGGCAGTGGGGTGGAGGACTGGGGCCTGGAGCTGAGAGCATAGTTGGGGGGCAGACGGCCCAGTTAGAGAATCCATTTGGAGCGGATTGCCAGAGTCCCATTTTAATCCCTGCAGTGATTCAAATCTCCACCCAGGTTTCCGAAATCTACTTTTCAGGTTAGCCTCTGACCCAGAAGCTGGCATTTCACACCCTCCAAGGCATCTCCAATTTCACCAGCAAGGGCAGGAATTGGGGGGGTGGGGGGTGTGTGTGGAAGGTGCAGAGAGGAAAGCCCGCTCTGTACAGTCTCCCCAGCTCCGAGTTGCTCCGTTAGCCTGGGTGGAGCAGAATAGCCTTCACGCCTGCCCCAGGCCACTGTCTACGCTGGCCAGAGCAGCTTCTATATGCGGATCCTTCTGGGGGGACTCCTGGGCCACTCTCCTGTGACCCACTTAGTTCCCAAGGCCTCTATGTGCCCCACGGTCTTTGGCAGAATTGCACAAGGTTCTATCTGGAAGGAAGGATTCTTCCTATGGGAAAAAATCATGGGCATTGCGTTTCTTTTGTGTAGCAAACATATTTGGGGTGCTTTGGGGAAATGCCCTAGTCCACTTAGGAAAAGCGACAGTTGCCCTTTTCTCACCTTCAGGAGGTAGTCCAGGCTGAAATAAACAGACATGGTTAAACCTGGGCAGGGTACTTGATCTCAGCAGGCCTTCTTTTCTTCATCTGTACAAGGGGGGTGATGACAGTACCAGTCCTGTGACTATGAAAAGAACCAATCAGGTAATACGTCTGAAATACCCACTAGGCATTGGCTGCTGTGCTAAGTGCTTAAGAAATAGAAGACCATGAACTTTTGTAATCGTTGCCCACATCACATTTCATCGTGGGTCCTCCCTGCTGAGCTTGGACTCAGACAGGTTGAAGGACGGACCCAGAGTCCCACACAAAGTCAGCCCTGAGCCTGGAGGTGCCTTTAGGCTCTTACTGTAGCCTTCTTGAAGCACCGTGTGTTGGAGCTCTCCAGAGAAGCAGAAATGACAGGACACAGAGCAAGAGCTAGAGAAAGAAATGTTGCAACAGTTCGGCTCCCATGATTTTGGAGGCTCAGAAGCCTGACAATCTGCCTTTTGCAAGCTGGAGGCCCAGGGAAGAGGGCAGTGTGGTTTCAGCTGGAGTCCGAAGGCCTGAGAAGCAGGTGCGTCAGTGACCGAGGGCAGAACGTGGACGTCCCAGCTTAGACAGAGGGATATTCGCCCTTCCTCTGCTTTCTATTCTACCCACACCCTCTCCCGACGGGGTGGTACCCCTCACACTGCGGGGCCTATCGTTTTGACTCATTCTGCCAGTTGAAATGTTCGTCTCTTCTGGAAACATCCTCACAGATCCACCCAGTCGAGTTGATAACAGAAAACTGCCACTCTCCACAATTGCTGGCCAGCCCCTCTGAGCCCAGAGCCCTCATTCTTGTTCTGCCAAAATCCAGGGGGCTGTGGGCAGTGCCCCTGGCTGGAGGCATCACAGAGCCCTGGGTCTGGCCCATCCTAGCCCCAACCCCAGCCCCTTCTCTCCAGCGCTCCCCCCGCCGCCCCACCCCGCAGCCCCCCCTCCTCCAAGAGGCAGGGTTCTAGCACTTTCTGGCTCTGCTCACATGGCCACGGCCACACGGTAGGCGGTAAGAGTACTGAGAGTAATCCGCTGGCTGTAGGACACGTAGCCCAGAGCCCGGGGAACGGTTGTCATCTCCGCAAGTAGCTTGGAGCTATCAGTGGCCATCCCGTGTCACTGCGTGCCCTGCCCCAAGGCTGCTAACCATTAGGCAGATGGAGCTGAAGCTTTAAAAAGAAGCCCTGGGGCTCAGTGGCCCCCAAACTTCAGGGCCCCATTGGAATCACTTGGAAACTCCCCATGCCTGGGCTGCCCTCCCCAGCTACGAACTCTGCTCTCTGGGGGCAATGTTTTTTTTTTTCTTAAAGAGGCCCGGGTGATTCCTGTGGGCAGCGAGTTTGGGAACCACTGCCGTGGCTGCTCCAGGGAAGGGGAGGGGACTTGGAGGAGGGCCCAGGTTAGGCTGTTAAATGAAGGTAGAGCCCACACTCACCTCTTTGCAACCTGTCATTCTACCCACAATAACCCTAATGTGTTTGAAGCAGCGGCTAGGCCTTCGGCCTCATTCCACATGCCCTCAGTACACAAACTGTCATTCATAATATACACCCAATAGGCCATACTCTCCTTTATAATCCGGGTCCTGTGTGTGTAATTATACCTGTGTGTGCGTGCTCACTGGGCATATCGAACATGGGGCATGTCACCACCCCCAGGCTCTAACCCAGCTTTTTGTCCATCAGCCCTCTCAGTCCCCCTCCCCCAAGCCAGTGTCCCCATCCAAGTTCTCTTTCCCCTTTGTCCCCCAGTCTGAATGTCCAAAAGCTGGGGGAGGGGATGAGTCATGTTCCAGGCGGCGTGGTTTGGTGCTGACCGGATGGGTAGGGTGGGGCCAAAAGATAGGAGAAAGTCATGTGCAACTGTTTCTGGGTGGTGGGTACAATGTTGGGGGCAGGGAGGAAGAAACCACAGCCTCCAGAAATGCGGCGGGAGGGATCCTGAGGGGCTGTGGGCTGGAGCCAAGATAAGGGGAGCCATATGGCGGTGTGGGTCAGCCCAAGGTCACTCTGAAGGACCCAGGAGGAGTGGAAATGTGAGCCCTCGGTTCCCTGACCTGAGCACCAGCGGGTGAGTGGGAGTCAAAGGAAGGAACCATCCAGAAAGCACCAGAGTCCCTGCCTTGGGGGATCCTGGTTGGGGCAGGGGAGCAGCGTGGGAAGCTGCATGCCATCAGAAGTTGTCTGGAAGATGTGGAATGTGCGTATGACTGTGCCGGGGCCAGAGGCTGTTTGTTATAACCAGATCATCACATCCCACAGAGGTCAGACAGGAGAAGCTTTTAGACACCAGTCTCCCACTCCCCTGCCTTATGTGAGGTCCCTGAAACGTAGCAGTTTGGAAAACAGGCGTGTGATGGATGTGCTGTCTTCGTGGGGAACAGAGGGCCGCAGAGATGCTCTCAGGAGAGGCCCAGACGTCTCTGAGTCCAGAGCTTTCCTCTTAGGAGTTTATGAGATGTCATGAGATGCAGTGACCTGGCTCGTGTCCCTGGGGCCCTCAGATCTACCAGCAGTCCCTCTGCCATGTTG